CTTTATTTGATCTTTATTTATTCTTTTGCACAGAGCTGCTTCTTCAAATTTGAACAGTCATGTAAAAGATCCCTAAATATATAGCTAGATCATATTCGGCCTCTCTCAATCAGGTTGTTTGCGAGTGATCGGAATGGTTTTTTTAAGCGTTAGTAAAGCACCTGAAAGCACTAGGCAATTTTGCGAACAATATCTCAGCTTCACGTTTTTATCCGCGAACTTTGCTCTGTCCGCGTCACAAAAGCGGCAGCGAGCACATTGGTTAAACAGCAAAGCGAAGCGGCGCGCTCTTGCAGCGTGCCAGAGCGGCGAGCGAATGCGGTTAGTGACAGCGTGTTTCCAGCATGGCGCTCCGCCGGCTCGCTTACCAGATGGGACTGCTCTCGCTGATGAGCTGCGGGTTTCGCCTGAAAGGCAGACAGTCGGTGTCGGGTCAGGTCGGGTCAGCTCGGCCGGTCGGCCCGGCCGGCACCTCTGCCCAGGTGGCGTGATCGCGCTGTCTCAGAGACGCTCGTGATGACCCATCCACAGCGGGCAGAAGGAGCAGGTCATGCACGACTACTACGAGCGAACTATCTGTCTAACCGTATAACCGTAGCGATCGAGGCCCGTGAGCACCACCCATCCACGTACCGAGGCCCCGAACATCACCCGACCACGTAATACAGGCTCCAACTAGGCTAACTAGCAGCTAGCTATGGGGTTGTAGCGTTCCTGCGGTCAATGTCTGCCAATATAACCACTACAGCATATCAACGACATTGTGCAACCGAGCGCATCCGCACCATATGCTACATCGCGTTGTGCAGTCATATATCACAGTGGTACCTTATGCAAACGTTAATTTGTTGGTTTATGCTAGATGAGTGTGTGGTGAGTGTTGAATTGCCGGTGCATGAACTATGCATGGTGAAGTGTTGACATTCGTTTCGTCTGTGATATCCTACGTTACTTTATCCTAGCGTAGTAAATAAAAATGTTTGAACTTATTGTAGGTTTAAATTCTTTTTGTTTAATTTCTCTGAAAGTTCCCGCCCCTTGCGGCACCATTAGTACCTACCACCATTAGTATTCTCTCCTTTTGGATATCTCAATGCCAGTTGCTGCTATGACCATTCATAGTACAAGCTACCACGCGTCGATCAGTTGAGCTCCGCCTTGCGTCGAAGGCCATGTCAGTCATTGAAACCCAGGCAGCCGCCTAGTCACACCGGTGCAAAAAAGCTCAATGGGGCCCATCGAGTGTAATGAATGACACGTTCCCCACCCAATAAACACACTGTCCGAGTGTCGGCGTCCCAGCGACATCGGCACCGGCACGGCGTCCTCCGGCCGGGTCAGTGCGGTGGCTCTGTCGGCGACTCTAAGGCAACAGTAGGATAGCTTTGGAAACAACACGTGCGCCCAGTGTCGGTGCACCCGGAGGTCAAAGTGATTGATAAATTTGTTCCTGTGGCAACGAAGGCTATGGTTTAGTTTACGCATTGGGTCGATGCTTTGTTCCTTCATCATCATGCGGAATTGATACCAAACTGACCGATTTGGTCGATTCTCAGGAAACGTATTTCTTGTTGGAGTGAGTTGTTCATACTAATCCCCAAACGGGAAGCCTGCCGCTGGGGGCAGCGATCGCATTATCCGCCAGTTGACCACAGAAAATGGGTCGTCCAGGCTGGGGCTGTGGACGCCTTTCCGCCTAACCGACCACCTGTATGCAGTTCTGTCGGTGAACTGGGCTGATTTGATCAGTACCTGGGTCATCAGCCGCTAAACCTGCCACCGCTGTCACCAATACCACCAGCACAGCCGCTCAAGTGAGGTATTTGACGGCCGAGAAGCCCCTGCGGTTCTGGATGTTTCCATGTGGAAACCGCTGTAGCACCGAGCTCCGCTCTTCGCGGCCGCTGGGGCGCGGTTTGTGTCTACACTCGGCTGGCGACCTCGGCGCCGCCTTGGATTCCATGGGCCGCTCAGAGCACCGTGACCGAGTTTGTGCTGTTCGTAACTTCTCCTAACGGTGGGCTGGTGACGGCGCGACCGAGCATTGAGCAAGGGAGCGCCCGCGGTAGCCGCCCCTGTGATAATGTGTCGCGATTGGGGCTTCGCCTGTCCCGCCTGTCCCCCGACGTGCCGGATTCCAACGCCGCCTGTCTCCGCTGTCCCCGCCTGTCCTCGCCTCTCCCCGCCTGTCCCCGCCTGTGCCGGTGATAACTCGCCCCTCTACCACGTCACTCCGCGCCGGTCCCGCGGCGCCGGTGATGGGTCGCGCCGGTCCCGCCAGTGACGTATCTGTTGAGGAGCGATCCTCCCCGCACCTGTCCGGGACAGGCCGGGTGTCGACACCGCCGCCTGCTGACACCCGGAGAGCGATATGGCGTCGTGACGACGGCTCCAAACGTGCCGCTGACGCGTCGCCGGTGGGACCGGGGCGGCGCGTGGAGGACGGCCTCTGCCAGCGTGTTCAGACGCAGATGATCCAGTTTATATATTTTTTTTGGAGGACGGGTACGGCGTGAAACTGGGGCTGCCGGACGTGCCGTGAGACCTGAGCACTATACATGCGTGGGAGATGCGTGATGCCTGTGTTTTGCAATGAGCTTACATGTTCTGGAGCTGAAGGCGCAGGGGATTACACACACATTCTTTTCGGGACTTGTAGTCCATTGCGTAAACACGGTTCGTTCACCTGGTAAGGTTTCTGGCAAGCTTGCTCCCGTGTGATCTTTTGTTCTAGAATGACGGCCGTATCTTCCACTCTTTCTATATCACAGCTGGTTTTGTATTAAGACGCGCGACCGGCTTAATTATCTCATTGACAGACTTGCACTTCATCCCTTTCCGATGTCTTTCCTAGCGGCTTAGTGGATATAAATGAGCCTCATTACAACCATTCATTTGCTTATCGTGCCGGGTCTTGTATCTCGTTAGAGAAGCAGCTCCGTTCAGTGATGGATAAATGGCGGCTTGCGGTTGTGCGCGACTTGCCATCAATTGGTTCAGCGGTGAGAAGTAGCAATGCTTTTTAAGTATCAGGCAGCGATGTAGGTTTGTAGGTTGACCTCCTTGGCTGAGGTATCGTTGAGATGTGCTTGTTACTAGTGAGCCGGTGGGATCAGAGCGGCTGAAGACTGTGCTGTTGGTGTCTGTCGTTACTCCCCACCGTGTGCCCCAGGTGAGGCGGGGACAGATAGATACTGAAGAGAAGGACACGATCGGATGGAGGTGCGGTACTGTCTAGGACTGACCCTCCCGCCAGGTTCTACAGTAAAAAACCGTCGACATTTCAAACGCCCGTCATTTGTTCGTGGGAGCTTGTAACGGAATGCCTTTTACCATAACTATAGACCACTTCTATCGTTTGTTCTTCGGCTTTGTGTCATATGTCCATGACCGGATGAACAAAAAATCCGGCGTGGCCTCGCGGGTAAAAAGCCGATAACCGAGTGCGTCTTATAGCGGAGGCCGTGGCCAGGGGGTCACCTTTGATGTTCGCCGTGGCCGCCAGAGTCTGGTGGCCGGGGGCGAGGGCGGGGCGAACCGCCCCCGCCCCATCTCCGCCCCGGCGGCCTCCGAGCCGTCACGTGCCCAGAGGGACCGGAGACCGGCGCGTGACAAAGGGGACCTCGGCGGACCGGCACCGAGTCTCGCCGGGCCGGTGGGAGCCGGCCTCCTTCCACACCGGCCCTGGCCCTACGAGCAGCAAACGGAGGAGTGGCACCGGCGAACCACAGGCCCCATCGGCCCACTCCGGTGCCGTTTCAGGGATGGCTTGTCGATCTCTCGATGCGTCTCATGGGAGTCGGCAGTGACCGGCGGTTACCGGACGGTACGGGCGGTGTCTGCTCTGAGAGCTGTGGGTCGGATCCAGAGACAGGGCCGACCCGCCTGTCTGCCAGCTGACCGACCCGTCGTCTCCCCACTTGGTCCGTCCGCCAGCCGGCCGGCCGGGGCGGCGGGTTTGCGAAACGGGGCCATACTCGGGTCGGCGCCGGCGCTAACTGCGCCCATATCGAGCCGGAGCGGCCGCTCCACCGGCGAAGGTCGGCCAAATGGCCCATCGGCCGCGCCTGCCCCGGGCGCAAGACGAGACTGGAGTGTTTGCTCTCTGGCTCGGCGCCTCGGATGGCGAGCGCGGCGCCGGTGTGAAGCACGCCCTCCGGACTCGGTCGCTGTCGGAATCGGCAATGGGCAGCCGAGAGTAAAAACTGGCCGTGAGTGTTTGCGGTTTGCGGCGCTGCGTCACGGCGGTCCAGCCGGCAGTGCCGGACCGGCTGCATTCTGTCACGGACCCGCGCTCCGTCCGCGGAAGGCGAGGAACGAACCGCTGACAGATGCGCCGAACGGCTGAGTGACGGCGGATCCTCCGGAGTCTCTGTATCGCCGCTGACTGTCTGGCACGTCCCGTCTCTCCGGCTCAGTGCACTCGACAGCCATCGGCCCTGATGACGCGCGCTGCCGGCGGCGTCATCAGCTGTCTGTAGTATCAATGTCAGCAGGCCGGCGCCACGCCACCGACCCATCCTCGGCCTGTTCCGCTGCCGCCCATCCGTGCCGCCCATTCAGCCCGTCCGCCACCGGGCTGGCGGGGAGGCTTTCTTTGGCACGCTTCTCGGGTACAATTAACGAGCTTGGTGTGCCGGCCGACTGTCGGCCGCGTGAGCTAGGGACATGTGTCGGAGGCTGTCGGCGGGCACCCAGCCGAGACTGCGGTCTGTCTGAATGGGCTGAATGGAAAGCCCCGTCTAATGGGCTAAATGAGAGCTGAGGCTATGTCTGCTGTGTTTGAGGCGCGACTTGTGCGAGTACCTGGATGTGATTTATGCGGCGACTATCTTAGAACTGCGATGTGTTAAGTTCATTGGTGCAATTTATGAATGGATGCGATTTCCAATGCGGAATATCTGTCATGATATCTGTCATATGTTACCCGCTTTGACGAAACCTGTTGTTTGCACATACATCTCCGGTAGGCTGATGACGGGGTTCTGTTCATATTTCAGATGATGACGCGTGAGGCGACACACCCGGCGCCCCTGCGACGGCCGACTTCCCGGCCACGTCACTAACGTCACTGCGTCAGTAACGTCACGACGTCACAGGTGCGTCCTGGGCTGTTGGCCCTCCGACTGGGCTAACGTCTGTGAGGATACCGACATTACCTGTGGGGATGTGTATCCGGATCAACGGCACTAGGCCGTCTGACCGGGGCCTCCAAATGGATGTTGTACGCTGAGGTGCGTCTGACCTCAGCGCGCGAGTCTCACCGGATGGACGTGAATGACAACACGGAGTCGATGGTGGGCATGAAAACATTATTTATGACATTCTAAGAGAACTGCGTCTCAATGCACAGCATTATAAATAATGTAACGTCAACTTACGTCCCTGACTCCCCGTCTATGCACGGCGAACTCTCAGGACAGTTGGTGCTTGGTTGTTCAGTTGTAACCCACATCAGCTGCCAGAGTCGGGGCTTAGCTGACGCCTAACGGGGCTGGTTACGGGAAACAGCATTAAGATGTGAGTCTACCAGCTATGGTAACCCAGTGCGGCCAAATCCATGGTGTCCCGAAGATAATCTTTTCGACGGCAAGGGCTGGGATGATGGTGGTGTGAAGCAACACCTTAATTTCTCCTACCTCCTTTTGTATATTTACCAAGATTAATGTTGTTTGATGCGCAGATAAGCGTCGCTCGGAGCTAATGCACGGGGATTGTTCTCTGGGTACCCCGCTGTGCCATGTGCTTATTCGCTGAGGCCTTCACCGTGGCGGCGTCTGGGCGGTTGTTGAACACGGGCCGAGTATGGCCCGGCGCGTGGAGGATGAGCTCGCTCTCCCCTGTCTGTCCCTGCTTCTGACACCTTCGTCGCCACCGCGGGCCTCTGCCCCACTGCCCCACCTGTCCGGGGCGGGTGCCGTAACCCACGGGTGTGATAGGCGCGCGTGCACAGTGTCGGAGGGTGGTCGGTCACGCCGCCCGACACCTCGGTGCACCGTGCACGCCGCGTGCAAACAGTGCACCGTCACGGCGCTCTCCGGCACGGGCGGGTGGCACGCCAGCGGTCATGTTTGTAAACACGAGACGTCTGTACTCACACGGCGGAGAGTGTTTGACAGGGATCGGCGAGGGATGTCGATATAGCCATTAGTGGCCTCTGCCCCGGCATTAGCCGATGCATAAGCAGCTTGTGGCAAAGCAGATTTCTCGTAAATGCCGCGCCGATGACGTCACGGCGTAGACTGAGACGGGGTGTCCAAGGCCACGCCCCTGTCGCAGGCGCGAGGAGGAGACGATCTGCCGGTCCGGCGTCATGGATACACCGCCTGCTGTCCACCGTACTCGGCGGCCGCCCTATTCCACCGCCCACCGCCCACCGCCCACCGCCCACCGTCCACCGTCCTCTGTCCACCGTCCACCGTCCTCTGTCCACCGTCCACCGTCCACCGTCCACCGTCCTCTGTCCACCGTCCACCGTCCTCTGTCCACCGTCCACCGTCCTCTGTCCACCGTCCACCGTCCACCGTCCACCGTCCTCTGTCCACCGTCCACCGTCCACCGTCCACCGTCCTCTGTCCACCGTCCACCGTCCTCTGTCCACCGTCCACCGTCCACCGCCCACCGTCCACCGTCCACCGCCCGTTCGTCATGAGGAGCCCCCGTTGCCGGCCGGGGCGCAGTTGCGCGGCTGTTTGTGTACCGAGTGTGCGCGCGGTCCAAAGAACATGGGCCTGTTGGCGGCGACTGATGGGCGCGCGCCCTGCCCTGATCGTGCGCCGACACCGGGGCCGCGCGCCCGGCCCGCCCCGCCCTCCCCTCGGGCGAGCTGGGTCAGAGCGCCGCGGGGGACCCAGATCGGACCGGGAGACAGCCGGGCGGGGTGATGGTGTCTTGCCATAAACAAATTTGAGGTGCGGTCTTGGTATACGTAAGCGGGTTTGATGCACGCAGTCCCGACCATGAAATCTGCCTCAGTTGAATGGGAATAATGACCTGGGAGCAGCTTTGGATGGTTGTGAAAGAAGTATGTGTACACGACGGCTAGTAGGTAGCCCCCTGTGAACGAAATGTCGCTATTTTTCTGCTCCTTATCACGCGAGCGCGTGTGCTATGTGCAATCTCGGACCGTAATTGCTGAGTTCTATCACTCACCCGTGTTTATAATAATAATTTGGCCATCGGGAGTTCATTAGTGTCATGCTACCGTCGAGGGCAGAGTGCGCAGTAGCTTGTAACAATCAATTGTCATGCAAATCTCGCGATTATCATAGGTAATGTTATCGATTAATTAGCAGCTGCGTTCTGCATGATATGAATTGTAAGTGCCTCTCCAGTTATTTAGTTGAACGTTGCGCTGGGAAACAGCTATAGTGATTTGAGCGAATTCAAGCGATTAAAGCCAGCAGCCATTTAGCCAGGAATGTGAGTGAACTGTCGCAAATTGCGCTCACGGACCGATTGATTGCCTTCACAGCTGAACGCACCGGCCTTGCACGTCTCGAAGGCGAAACTGTAACGGGTCCAGTGGGCGTGAAAGGCTGAGACCCGCCCGCCGCCCGCGAATTTCTGCCCCAGCTGGACACAGCCGTGAAAGTAATTCACTGCTGCCTTTTGAAAACAGGGGATTATCTAACGAGACCACACAATGAGAGTTTCTCGAGGGCTGTTGTGTGATTATCTGATTTTTGCACCACCCGACGCGGTAATTCATCAACCTCTCGTTGTCCGACTGTTTGAAAGTCGCTTTGAGAACTTTGTCTGGCGGTATCTGGACCCGTGGCCGGCTGACCTGCTCGAGCTCGCCTCGCCACGCCTATCGGAGCGGGCGGCCGGGGTGTGGGCGTCAATACCGCCCGGGCCGGAGTATCTCTCTCTCCCGTTTGAAAGCGAGCTGCGCGGCTGTTGGTCCGCCGGCCCGACTACCAGGGCGGCCGGCCGGCGCGGTCGACAGCCCGTTTCGAAATGATGTATTGCCGATCTCGGGCAGCGGTAGCCGGCTCCGACGCCGGGCTCGCTGACCGTCTGCCGCTGTTGCCGCAGCTCTCTGCTCTCATCAGGCCGGCTGCCACACCTGTCCACCTCTCTCCCCGTGTCCATCGGCTGTCTCTGTGTCCGTCGGCCGTCTCCCGATACCCTGTGTGGGCCGCGCGCAGTGGGCTGCACACCTGTGAACCGCCGGGTGCACCTGGACCGCCGCCGGGCCGCTCGTGACGGCGCCGCACGCGCGACACGGCTGCTGTCGTGCCGGGCGCGGCAGTGGCACAGCGCCGGCACGACGTGGGCACGGCCCGCGGATGGCGGTAGCACGCCGCAGCTGTGTGTTTGGGACACCGTGTGAGCCGGTGTGAGCGGCGCCGGGCAGGTGGGACGCCGCCGGCCTTCTGTCCGCGCACGGCGGCGGACCGAGAGACTAGGCAAGGAGGGGTGGTGGCCTGTGGTCGGTAGGGCAGTCTTTCCCGTCCTTCGAATTCGCACCCTTTCTTTCTCTTTCTCTAGGGTTGTTATTCCCTCCATTTGTCTATCTACCCACCCATCCATCCCCTGTCTATCTCCTCCGGTCGGCCCCGCGGTCGGCCGCGGGTGTGGCTGTCCGACCCCGTCTGTCCGACCCCGGCTGTCCGACCCCGGCTGTCCGACCGGCTGTCCGCCCGGTGTCCGGCCGGCTTTCCGACCCCGGCGGGCGGCGCGGGCGGGCCAGGACGCCGTGCCGGACCAGTTGCGTCACCGACCCTCGGAGATGACCGTACGGCGGGCGCCGCGTGTTGTAACGGCCGGGCGCAGGTGCCGCGGCCCGCTCCGCCCTGATACACTGCGGCAGAGCCGGGCTGAGACGCTCAGCTGGGCGCCGGTCAGAGGACTGCTGGCCGGTGGATACCGTATTATTTTGTGGGCCGCGGGAGAGTTGTTGACTTTCGTCATTAGTGCGACTTATACTGGCGTTGCTATGTGCACTGGATGAGGTAGGTTCGTTACGAGGTTGGAGCTGTTGTGTCATGGGTAAGAGCCACATCTGCATGATGAGCTCTTGATGTGTCATCTCCAATCCATGACATCCATTTCATCTGCCGGTCGCAGCTGACCGGCCTGTGGCTCGGATGTAAATCGCTGCACGGATACCGGTACTGGACGGCCGAGTTCCGGGAAACCGGCGATCGATGGCGCGTTTACGGTGTCGGCGATCAGTCAGTCTTTGCGGTCGGACAGCTGTCACACGTCGGCAGAGTGATCGCGGCTTTTTTAGACTTTTGTTTGTGATTGATGCGTCGAGCCGATCTCTGGGTTTGAATCGGCCAAAGTACGCTGAACATTTCATGGACTGTTTGGGCAATCCTGAACATTTGAGGAAGGCATTCTTGTGTGGTTTTCAAGTAAAAAATCCAGGATACGCCTGATGAAAGTGTGTGCATACTTATTCAGATTGGTGTATCGCCCGCCAGAAAGCTAATGCCTGTAATGCCTGAGATAATGACCTATTCTTTTATCAGCTCACACTCGCATTGTTAGCAGGCTGATCGCATCGGACGAGAGCCATTGAGAGTGAAACTTCCCGCTGCCCGGTTAGTTTTCTTGTCCCCGCCGGCACCTTTGAGCCGACATCCATTATAAACGCATTATCTGATGGAGCGCCATCGTTAAATAACAGCGGCATATCTGGAGTAATTCTGTTTTAATAATCCGGCCGCTCTGCGGGTACTTTCGCCGTCAATCTGGCCGCTCTGGCGCGGTGGTTCCTGACGCGTGCCCGCCCCCAATAACCACCGTGGTTACGCAGCGGTGTCACGGCGGACGACTGAGCCGCGGGGCGTGGGTCGGGTCGGCTCAGGACCGCGGCCTGCTAGCGCCGGCTTCGAGACGCACGTGGTTGATGAGATGAGATGACATGGGATGGTTTTTCTGAGATGGACTGATCAGGGCTTGCATTGATTGGACACGACCGCCAAATAACTAATGAGTACTCAGATAAGGAGCGTGATCGGCGGCTCAGTTGAGACATCGGGCGTCACGCGACCGGCACCAGCCCGGCGGCGGCCGATTCCTCGTCGGTGGATCGGCTCAGTGGCGCCGGCGATCCTCCGCTCAGAAAGGCGCCGCCTCCCGA